CTCACCACTCAAACTTCAATCAGTGTCAACTTTGACCTTATTTGGTTGTAACCTTGCACCGCTCAGCCAATTAGATGAAACATTACCTGACATAACCTGAAAGTGACTCGTGATGAAACAGGTTTTCAACCCCTCTTGATTTATCTTGATAGGCCTTTTTAAGGATGACATTTTGACATGTCACATTGGGAAAAGCACAGTAAATAATAATATTAATGATAACTGAATTCCATTTAGCTGCTTTAGTTTCAGGGTCCTGGTATTGTGTACAGTTTATATCATTGGTTATGCACAGTATAGAGAGCCTTAGCCTGTGGTCATTAGTAGTAGGCGTTTTTGTTAATTTCATATATAAAATATTTTATTTTCTGTGCCCTCAGATCAGATTTGAGTGGGTATGTTTATTTTAAAGATGCTCTGTGCTTTGTCTCTGAGTAGCACTTCACAATGCCGCCTTTAATATGGAACATATGATGACACATACTGGTTTTGAACTGCCCGTGGGAAGAATGAACATGTAAGAGTGTGTCCATTCTTTGATTAAAAGCTCTCTTTTCACTGTCTTCTTTTCTCTCTGTAGAACACGCCATGTGAAATGACTTTTCTCTGACTCACTCATATCTCCGACAGTTGTCTCTTGTCTCTCCTGTGTGTGTATCTCACTCACTCGAGTCACAATGCTTACCAGAATGCAAGGCCGTAGGTTTGGTTTAAAAATTGTGGGGGACAAATATGAAAGGGGGGATTTGGGGGTCCCCTGTTAGGAAAGTTTGAGCATGAAACACTTTTAACAATTTGTGCCTTTTCTGCATCAGTGTATAGTGTAAACGTCTTTAATTTTGTCAAAATGGTAGTCCTCTGATACTTTCATCTTTTTATTGAGGGAGACATACGTACATGTCATAAATATTGAGGTGGATGTGTCACCTGCATCCCCCTTGAAATCTAAACCTATGTCGGATTGCACATATTTGATTGGCTGAGAGGCATCATGTAATACAATTTAACATATGCAATTGGTCTATGAGTTTCCTGGTCCGCTACAAAGAAAAAGAAATGCTCCGTCAAAATAATTTTCAATCGATAATGTTGTAGCATTAACAAGACTTAAAATAAGAGAGGCTCAGACATGGAGTTGCACATTTGAGGGTTTACTTGCAAGAAAGCGAAAGACTTGGTACATAATGACAATTTATAGTGTGTGACAAACATGCATTGTGGGTACTGTAGGTACTTTCCAAGGGTTATTTCCTGCCACTCAGACTACCAGCTCCGAGAGCGATTTTTCTCCTCACATAACCAAATTTGGCCTGAAGCAACGCCAGATTATTTAGCTGAAGTCACATCAGGGTAATAAGTTTATGTCCGGACACGTACACTATATTAATCAGTTACAGTTCTAGGTCTGGATGGGAGGGCTGTCTGGGTTTGGACCTGGGAACAACCCAGTCTCACTCTGAATTCGTCAAAATCTGGGTCTTGGTCAGTGACTTCTGGCGTCAGACGCCGACCAAAAAAGCTTTCCTTTCCCGTTGGCATGATACGTAGCCGGTTGCCATTATTGTTTAATGGCAACTGGCATCAGAGGGAAATTGTGGTAGGACAACAACGAAGTTTCAGGCGCTGGAAGTCCGAATAGGGTGGGTAGGACGATTGGTGGATGGGTCCAATAACCACAGATTTTCACCTGGGAAACCAGTGTTCACTTCCTGTACGATTGTAAAGCCTAACCCTGCTAATTTTTCCTAAACCCAACCGTGTGTGTGTTGGAAAAATGTAACCACATGCATTTGTTATTAAAGGGAAAAAAAACATCAATTTGCGGTGTTGTACCAATGTAGTGCGTTTATTTTAAAAGAGACACAAGTGTATTTTGGACAGAGGATGCATGTAACAGGCAGAACTTGACATAGCATCCCAGAATGTCCACAACCAACGCAGCCAGGGTACCTTGCGAGCTGTTTCTGGACGTGGAAAGTCCATGACCAAATGTCAATATGTGATGAGGTTGAAGTGAGAATGTGTTGCCGGGGGATGAAGGAGGATGGCAGGTTAACAAGTAGGAAGCATTTTGGTCATTTTGCTAACAAGGGGGATTGCGTCCCCCCTTAAATCAACCACTGGACATTAGAAATTTGATAGTAGTAAAGTTAAATTCTCAAGAGCACTCCTGAAGCTGGTGATTGTCTTTTTCCGAGGGGCTTGAATCTGGAATCTGGTCCCAAGTCACCCCACCAACAGTGCCACCAAAGCCATTTGCTCCAGTTTGAAGGTGGAGGTGGGGCTGCTGGAACAGCCATTGGATTGTCTCAGCTTATCCTGGCTCGCATGAAGGAATCATCCCGAAAGCCTTTTAGGAAATGAACCCTGGCTTTATGCAGAGCCAATTGATGTTGGCTCTCCAGATCGGCATTTGTCCAAACAGAGCTGAAGCGGGCCATGAACAGCTCCTTTATCTTGGCTATTGTGCTTTGCTTTTGGCTCTTGATTCCATGCCTACACACAAGTTGCACATTCACTTTAGGCCACGAGATCAGCAAATAGACGCGCATGTGCGTAGGTGTTGCACAAACACACACACACACACACACACACACACACACACACACACACACAAGTGCTGCATAATTAGCATAATTATGCTGCACACACGTGCACTTGCAAAAATTATGCGCACACACACAAACTGGCATAATTATATGCAGCCACATACAGTACACACACCCACACTGCTCTACGGTACACACACAGAAGCCGCTGATCAACTGCATGACCTTCTCTCTTACAATGTTAATGTCACCACCTGGGGGAGGAGGGTGGTGGAAGGAAAGGATGGGGGCTTGATGGAGTGATGGGAGAAAAGAAGGGGGCATGACAAGGCTTGATAAGCCTGTCGTACCCGCCACCCGCCACCCCCTCAGCCTCTTTCATCCCTCTTACCTCGTCAAACATCCCTTCAGCATGCACGCACTTATAAGTACAGTGTGCATGCATGCACACACACACTCCACCTTACACCACGTCACAGCCGACATCCAAGCACATCCTTGCACATCACCGTGGGTCGTAACCCAACATTCAGTGTGCATGAACCCTTTTCTGTGTCTGTGTGTGAGGCCTGTGGCTTGCCCGCTGACAGGATACTGTTATGCCAAATGTCACACTTCCAAAAAGGATTCACCCCCCACGGAGAAAATGAAGTCAACACCTTCCTTTCGCTCTTACTCCATCACCTCCCTCTCGTCTCCTGCCTCCTTCACCTTGTACCTCCATCACTCTCTTCTTCCTCCTCCTCCTCCTCCTTCTCCGTCTTCCACTCAGCCTCTCTCTCACTTATCCGTTTCTATCCTCTTTTCTGCTCCCTTGAACTATCTCTACCTCACACACACACACACACACTCACCTTGGTTTGCAGTCCTCAGCGTTTTGCTGAATAAAGTCCCCTTTAACTGGCTGGTTTTAGCAGATAATTAGTCCTCACCTTGGGAGAGGAGGAAACGACAATGAGAAGAAAAGGAGTGGAAAAAAGCAGAGAGAAAAGGGTGATTTGGGGGAATCGATAGGGGGTGAAGCAGAAGTACAAGGGTGATGGCGAGAGTGAGAAGGGCAGCGAGGCAGAGGGGTTGAAAGATGTAGTGAACAGAGCAGGTTTTTTTCTATACATGTACGCATTACCTTCATCATGTCTCAACGCCTTCAGTATTTAATTGCATTCTGAAAGAAGGAATAAAGGGAAAAAAACAACCTTCTCATTTAATTCACGATTCACTGGCCTCAGCCATCAAGGAGACAGTAGAGACCTCTCACATGGCGCATGAAAGAAGTTATTTTTTTTAAGTCATCACAGGAAAAAAATAAATAAAAACATGTAGGCGTGCAGCGGAGGGAGGAGGCACGGTGCATTATCTTCACTTGTCGCTGTAGATGTGGTCTTGAGCAGCTTTTTAATTTGATGTCAGTATGCAAATACTGTAAACAGTCAAAAAACAACTCCAAATCCCTTTTTGTTCCTAGAAGACTTAGAGGAGAAATTACACTCCCTTAGCAACAGACACCCCCCCTCCAAAAAAGAAAAAAAAAATGTTCGGCTTTATTTTTAGAAGGTGCAAACAAGGAGAGTGGGGGGTGGGGGGTGTAAGATTGTAAATGTCTCTGATGTGTTCAGTCTGTACAACCTTATTCCTGATAATGGAACTAGCTCCTCTGTCTGTCAGTGCCTATTTACACACAAATGAAGTGGCGAGTTGCACGCGCCCAGTGGAGCTGCTAGCCTCCATCTCAGCTGTCAAAATGGGTTAGTGGCTACAAGCGAAACACAATGATCCCTGGGATCAAACTGGCGCCGTCCATTCAAACATAATAGCTTCATCCTTGGACATGGAGCGTCTCTTCTTTCCCCTTGCTGGCTCTCCTCTCAGAACCTTGCCAGCTTGTTGTAAAGTAATAGACTTCTCAGGGATGCCAGTTCACACAAATCAGCGATGTAGCCTTTTATTTGCCCTCCGAGGGGAGAGGTGTTTGGAGTAATAGGGATGAAGCAGACCATAACTACAGCTGAATAAATCTTCCTATCTTGGTTCAGTGGAAGCCGGTGCACACACGGCTTGTCAAAGCTCTATAAAATGTTGTTTGATAGGAGTTCTGTTCAGTTTAGGACTTCTCCTCCTGCTATCCACTCCAGCTCGCTTTCGTTCCGCGCTACAGCGGTTGCAATCAATCAGTGTGTAATCAGCCATCGAGCCGGAGCTGCCAGGTAATCTTGGCTGTCTTGGTGGCTATCTGTGCGTGTGCGCATGTGACAGCTGGCAGAGCTGCTAAGTTGCCTGTCTGGGTGAGTGGATGGCACCACGCAGATTTTCTCTCCGCAGTGTGTAAAGGCATATCGGATGATCTGATGGCTGTTGAAATTGTCAAGTGGGATTTGAGAGTGAGGACGGGCATTTTCAGTGCCCAAATGCGTGAACTTACCTGAGTCATTTCTCCCTCTTTCTCTCCTGCAGACCTGCCTAGAATTGGAGCGCTATCTGCAGACGGAGCCCAAGCGTCTGTCAGAGCTCTTCGACCAAGACCTGGATGGCCTCCTAACTCCGGCCTACCTGAAGGAGGACGGTGAGGAAGAGCTGACGGACGCCCTGCTCCCCAGCCTACCCAGCCTCCCTGAGCCCCCGAGCCCTCCTCCAGTCCTCCTCTTCCCAACACGGAAGAATTTTCCCTCCACTGGTACAATGAAAAGAGACCTCAAACCTAAGGGCCAGGGGCTGGAAAGCGCAGAGGGCGTGGAAGGGGTCCACCAGGCCCAGCTGAGCGCCGTCACCTCCCTGACGCCACCGTCGTCGCCAGAGCTGGGCAGGCACCTCGTCAAACCCAACCAGACGCTGACAGCCTCAGCTGATGGGACACTTACCCTGAAGCTGGTGGCCAGGAAGGTGGGGCTTAGCACGGCCCGGCTGGTGGCGGCGCACGCACTCCCTGTTCGAATGAGGGACGAAGAAGAGGGGGCGACTTGTGTTATCGGGGTGGGGGAGCTACCGGAGAACAAGAAGAGGATCCACCGTTGTCAATTCAACGGCTGCAGGAAGGTGTACACCAAGAGCTCCCACCTAAAGGCCCATCAGAGGACACATACAGGTGAGAATTGGACCCACTCCTAATACACCTCTTGCCCCATCACTTAGCCCTTACCCTTCTGTTTCGTACTTTCACATCTAGGGGAAGGGTAACCCAATTCTTGTTGGGATAGAGGGGTAGGGTAGTCTCACATTTAATGTATTTCCATGTTGCATTCCCCCCATTTGATGGCATATGATGCCTGGAATTTAACTTAAGGCCAGCAGCAAAGTTGTACTTGTAACCCCTCCTCTAATATCAGTGAAGAATGGCAGGGTAGGAACACAGGATGCTAACATTAGCCTACAGAGCAAGCACCACGATTACATTTTAGGGTCTTGAAGGGTTGCCCCCATGTCATAGGGGAAGTTTTCAAGCACTACCCCTTGTATCTCTGTTCCAAGGGGGCAAGGTAGCACTCAAAATGAGGAGTGGGGATTAAAATATAAAATGAAATTGGGCCTAAGTCATGTGCAAAAGTGTTTTTGAAAATGTGGTTTTAGCAGCAGTTCGTGTAAGTGAAAGACAAAGCAGTAGTAGTAGTACTTTGTTAGAGGTGGAATATCGTGCTGCTATTTGCAAGCACATTAAGAGTTTGTTTATCAGATCAATCATTACTACTTTTCTGCAAAGCCTCCTCAGTGTGCAATAGTCATTTAGCCTCAAGACTGGTTCAATATAATTATATGGAATTGCCCACGCTGCTCACATTAATATACATTGTTTTGTGTAAATGTGTATGCTTCTTTTTATTTTGATAGGAGTTGTACAGAGACATACGTTTACACAATTTGTATTCGTGAACATGGCCATATTAGTTTAGATATAATAGGCTCGTTCGAGATGAACTGCGCCTCGCCTGGAAAGTAGACGAGAGCAGGCGGCCGCAGCGGGGGGCGGTGACAAAAAGCCGCAGTGAAGTCGGACAGTTTCCCGACAGTTTCCAGCAGCCTTCAGTCCGTACAGGAAGTCACAGACACACTTACATCCTGTCTGGAATGATGTCAGTTCATTAAAAAAGTGATCAGACCCATATATCAGTTTGTTTTCACCATCAGTCACACAACATGTTTTCTGTTCACAGAATAAACCTTCAGGTCAGACAAATACAATCTTAATCTCTAGAATTCAACAAAAAAGAGTAGTTTATCTAAAACGTCATCTTGTTGAGTCGACATCTGAACCAATCAGCTGTTAGATCAGGTGAGAGCCAGGCGGTGCAGTCGGTGGAGAGCAACTGCAGCGCCTGGCTCTAAAAACTGCGGCCGCCTCGCTCTCGCGGCTTTATCGCCGTCCACTTTTGTAAAACGTCAGAGCAAGTCGGGATGAAGTCGGACACAAAACTAACCGGCATGCATTGTGCGCCGATCGCCGGTGATCGAATCTGCGCAGGACTGGCTCATCTCAAACGAACCTACTGTCAGTAAGTGATCCTATGAGACTTTCAGTCAGGCAGCTCTGAGGACACCTCTCTTACCAAGAGGTAGCCACTTGCTACACCTGCGGGTAATAAACCTGATTGACACTCATTGTTGATGGCAGGCTAAAAAGGCTCAGTCCTGAGGCTAAATGGCTGTTGCACACTGAAGGAGACACAGCCAGAAAGTCAGTACTGAACACAGAAACTGAAGGAGCTTTCTATCAATTTGTGTGTGCAGCGGTGTTTCCTTGAAATCTCAGCCACTCAATCACAGATGTATGCTCTGTGGGGCAATTTGCATCTGGATAATTCTTTTGGTCTTTGAGTGGAGACTGTTTGCATTTTCCTACAAGAGACATGAAATGTGGGCTGCTTTCAGTGCAGGCATTTATATCAATCCATGGTTTATGTGAGCACTGCATGCATCCATCCCTTTTCCAGTCATTCATTCACCCCTCCAGGCCAGACTCCTTTCTGAATTCCTAGATAACCTGACGTGAGATAATTGAGGAAAATCCCTCAGCTTCACACTCTTGGAACAAGTACAAAATGCACACAAAGTGATAAGAAATGCAAAGAAAAAACAGCCAAGTAATCACAGAACAGGCTTAAACCCTGGTCCCCTTGTTGGCATATAAAAAATCACCACATAAGATAAAAATGTGATGATTTAAGAAAACCCACTTTTCTTATCCTGCTCCTTCTACCCTAAGTACTTCTCTTTGCCAAACCAGGACGGGTCCTCCTTGTCAAGGTTCTTCTCAAGAAGGAAGGGGGGAGGGATTCAGGAGCTATAACTCTCCCGCTCTTCCATCTCAATCCCAAACCACTCAGACCCCTGTCGGGGAGCTGTCCTCCGTCTGAGTAACTGCACAGTGATGGATGGATTGACCTGGATAGGCTGCCATTTCCCTGGTTTATTTCAGGCCCTACCCGTCCTCTATGCGTTCTATACTGTAAGTCTAGGTCAGTGGTTCTCAGTCTGAGGTTGTTTGATTTTGCAGGGGTAGTGATGGGATCATTCTAAGACCAGAAAAATATGTCTCAAATATAAAGGTAAATTATAATCTTAGGGGGCAGGTCATGAGGGATCCATCTGTATGCTTACTCCAGTAATAATGAAGGAGGAACAGAAACTGGTGGTACGGTAGTGTTCACATTAATCAAACAAACTGGACTTTGTGATCAAGTGTATTTGGATTGTGGCCTAGGTCCCTGATCTAAAAGCCTCCCTAAATGTATGGTGGACTACAATCTTGACTCTAATATATAAAGCTGTTTCTTTGCATGTTTTACCCCGCGGAGATACAGCAAGGACGTCCATCATGCTAAATGAAGTTACAGGAGCTCTAATTAAATTTTCTTGCTACCCACCATCTAAACCCTTAAACGTAATGGTTGACAGATCACCAAAGCTGTCCAATTTAGAAGCTCCATAAGCTTCTACCACAAGCTCTCCCTGGCTTGTACTTTCGGGGGTGTGAATATAAATAAAGCCAACTTGTCAATGACTATATGTTAAGGATGAAGAAAACACGCTGTATGTGTGATCACACCCTCGGCGGTGTGCGCCACGGGTTTGGGCATCAGCCTGACTGGAACAAAGGGCACAGACACGCGATCATTGATTTCCCCAGTGTGGCATGTTTGCATCCCCATGTGCTTAAGCTCCATGCCAACTGGGCCAGCGCTGGGAGACCAGTGCCACCAATGCTGTCCAGTCATAATATCCATGCAAGCCAAGGGATAGACAAGAAGGATTAAATGGCTTAATCAGAAATTCAGAGATTATCTCAAGTATCCCATGTTTGGATTCATATTAAATCTTCATATTGCAAATTGACCAAACAGAGATACTTTTAAGTTGCAAATTCTCAAATTTTAGAAATAGGAATTAGGAATTTGGAATAAGTCGATTTTGGAATTAGTAAATTTTGGCATTTTTTCTTGCAAAATGACTTACTTGATTTATTTCTCTAACAAAACAGCTAGAAAAGTAATACTTTCAGGACAATATTAAACTCTACATCCCAATACACCTTAAAAAAGACCCTTTTTGGATCAAATCATCACCTTTTAAACTATTTTAATTGTAAGCTTATGTAGCATATGCCTTTATTTCTCCAGTAAATTGTTGGAGAAAATGATATAATGATTTAATGATACAATAATGTTATATATAGCCTCATAAAGGGCTCCGTTTCTGGAGAAACCCCTCCCCCCGAACCTATCCTTGCCACTTCAGGTGCTTTGGATAAAAGCATCCACCCAAAGAACGCCTCTCTTGTTATTCAAACCAGGAAAGTGGAATGATAAAAGGGGGGAGAATGTCGACATAAGATGACACAAAGAAAACACAAAAGCTAAAGAAAAGGCAGAAGAAGAGGAGATAGTAACGTGGAGTGAAACAAAGAGTAGATGAAGACAGAAGACATGAACGGGGGGCGGGGGTGGGGGGGTACAGTAGAGCGACCCTCTTCAGAAAGAGACAGCAGTGCCACAGGCTCCCCCATTCACTGAGCCATTATCCTGACAAGTTTAAAGATGTCATTACTCAAATCCTCTTTTTCTTAGTTGTTATTTCCATAAATTACTGACGGAGAAAAGGCTACGATTTAATCTGGAATTAGACGGGCTGAGTTGAAATGACAGTGCCCTGTAGAGCTTTTTGTGAATAGGCTTATGGCAGATAAGGAATGGTACAATTAGATTTTGGGCAGGGTGAGGGAACGGGTAAAACACGAGGACTGTTGGGTTATTCTGCCTTCTCTCTCTTCGTCTCTCTCTTTCCCTCTGTTCCTCATCTGCCTTTTTCTCTCTCGCTCTTTCTAATCTTTCTCTCTGCAGTTCTCTCCTTATTTCGCTCTATATCAGTCTAACACGTCTGTCTCTGTATATGCTTCTCTGGCACGCTCTTATTTTATTGCTTTGCTCTTTTGCCATTCACTTTCTCTCACTCTCTCTGGGCTGAGGCCAACGATTTGAGAAAAATATTGCACTTGTTTTCTATAGATTAAACTTCAGGCTAGTATTTGTGGCATGTAGTTTAATTAATCTTATTTTCTGTCACATATATAAAGTTACAATGACGGATGTTCATATTAAAAGTGGCTAAAGTTTCAAATAATGTTCCTCGTCACATGACATGCCGTACGTGCTGCTGCGTTCCAAAAGTTGAACTCCACTTATCTCAGAGCACAGCCATCGCAACGGCATTGTTCTGATGTTTGAGAGCGTCTGTCGCACATCTACATTGAAATCATTGAATTTGAGAGTGGAAGAAATGCAGCATGTGTAGGACCCCATACACTGCTACATGTAGCTACATGCTAACATCAGGGAAGATCTTGGCTGCCGATTTGTTAATTCCCCCAGATTTTGGATTGTTTTCCTGCTGGAGCATGTCAAGTTGTAAAGATTTTGGTTAAGACGCTTTTACCAGTGATTTTCTATGGTTTAAAATGCCACTTTACTCCATAACAGTCATTCCCCAGGTGCAGGTAAACTGCTACATGTAGTTACATGCTAACATCAGGGAAGATCTTGGTTACCGATTTTTTATTTCCTCAAAATTTTGGATTATATTCTTGCTGGAACATGTCCAATTGTAGAGATTTTGGTTTAGAAGCTTGGTGCTTTTTCATGGTCAAGAATGACACTGTACTCCATTACAGTCACTCCTCAAGTGCAAGTAAACTGCTACAAGTAGCTACATGCTAACATTAGGGAAGATCTTGGTTGCCAATTTGTTATATCCTCTAGATTTTGGATTATATTCTTGCTGGAACATGTCCAATTGTAGAGATTTTGGTTTAGAGGCTTTAACTGGTGGTTTTTTATGGTTAAAAATGCCACTGTACTCCATTACAGTCACTCCCCAGGTGCAAATAAACTGCTACATGTAGCTACATGCTAACATCAGGGAGATATGTAATCTTGGATGCTGATTTTTCACAGTGGGAAGTGGTGCTATGCTATGCATGCCATGTTTTGTGCCCTCAAATTCATTGTTTTTAATGTAGATGCACTATATGGCTAGAGGAAGGAGATGTTTTGCAACCATGTGTGATAGTCTGATGTCCATTTACTTAAAGCCATGTAGTGTTTGGTCGTTCTACACAAAATAATGCCAAATAAATTTTTTTTTTTTTTTGTTCAAGTCAAAGAAACGGTAATTGTTAAGTAGAATTGGCTGGGTCTCCCCAGAAAAAGTAACCAAATTTAGCCCACGTTTATAAAGACACTGTATTGTGTCAGATTTAATCATGACATTCATAAGTGCAATTATGTTTCTTGATACATAGTTAATGATAAACAAACAATGTTCATCTTCCAGCCCTAGTTTTCCATCATCCCCCATGCCTCTCTCCAACATACTTTATTTCTCCATCAGTTCCCCCATCTATCATTCTTCTCTCTAAACCTGTTTCCCTCATCCTCTCCCTTTTGCCATATCTGTAGTGCTAGTTGTGTGTAGGAGCCTGTAAAGCGTTCTCCAAGAGCCTCTCTAATGACCTCCGAGACCCGGATGCCCTGCTTCGGCTCCGGCTAATGGAGGGAATGCAATTAAATTCAACACTGGCACCTGAGAGGCTGGAGCGAGGGCGCGCACGTGTGTATGCACGCGCGTGCTAGAGAGCATTCGGAAGTAACAGATTACACTTAATGGGATTACAGTGACTCAGGAAACACCCAGTTATCAGATTACTGATGAGAAATATGTGATTGCTTATTTGATTACTTAAAAAGAAAAAGAAGTCGAAGGGGAAAAGCATTTTGATTGCACATCATTTTTTGCCTGAAACCAGTGAATGGTGTCAGCTGATGGGGATTTTATTAAATACTGCAGAATAAATGATGGTTCTCAACAACAGCACTGTCCACAATCCTGATTCTTTAAATCAGAAGAAATAATCCACTTAGCTTCATAATCTACATTATATGTTTTACAGGCAAAGTAATCCAAAAGTAACAGAGCATAATCAGATTATGTTGCCGGGTCGGGGCTAATCCCGTGGATTAGGTTTCTGATTGCCATTTTAAACTGCCAATCAGTCCGACTGTATGTAATATTGTATTTAAAAAAGTAACCTTCCCCGTCCAGTTTGTATGCGACTGTGTGTTTGAGAAGGCGAGCATGCACCTGCTGTACTTGCCTGTTTGTACGAGGGCATCTTGAGAGAGAGGAGAGAGGAGGGGGGGATCTGTTGCTAGGCAATGGGGGGCAGCGTATCGTTGGAGGCGTCGGTAGCTGAGTGGTTATGTACTGCTGCAGGCCTCTTAGTGCCCCCCCAACCCCCCCCAACCCCCCCCCCCCGCACCACCACCACTACTACCACCACCACCACCACCACCGCTACCCTCCCCCCGCTCCTACCTCCCCCCCTTGCCCTGTACAGCTCTACGGTTACCGTCGCTAGGCAACTGCCTCCGTGCTCTGCCAGCATGCTCAGTAATTGGCCGGTGGCATGGCGGCGTGCCGTTGCCAGATCCAGCCAGCTGCACTGACTACTGCCTCCTCATGTTTCAGCGCACCCCCCAACCCCCCACCCCCCTTTCTCTTTCACACACACACACACACACACACACATACACATACACACATACATACACCCCACCCCCTCGCCTCCATTGCTAGGCAACACATTCAGGCATCCCTGCCTCCCGGGAATTTCATTGGCCAGAGCGGGATGGCCCAGACCTGCTGCTCCGGGTGTAAGTGAGGCAGTATGAAGAGATACATGTCCACATAGGGGACATGCATGGATGGAGAGTGGAGAGCAGGGGACATGGCTAATTTCTGGATCTCTAAACCAAAAACACTTTAATTTTATACCTTTCCATTACCTAAAAAAATGTCTACTGAACAGTGGCTACTTTTACATAGACAAAATATTTCAATTTTTGTCCTTATTCTAAAAAAAGACAACATTCCTATTAAGCTGTTTACATGGCTAATTAAAACTAGTATTCCACTGATATTCCTGTTTACATGCAGCCATGCTTACTCCAATTATGTGCCTTCACATGTCGATAATCACGTCACAATATGGAAAAGTGGAACAGCTGGTGCCCCTTTGCATCTTTGCATCAAAATGGGATTTTTTAAAAGATGTGTTAACACAGCATCCCTCATTCTTTAACCACCTCCTTGAGAAGGTCTGTGTTGCGATATTTGCACATATTCAAAAATCAACACATTCTCACTCAGTTGCATATAGATGTTTGGTCATGGACTTTCCACGATCACATTTGATATGCACAGTACCCTGGGTCCATTGATGTGGGTGTTCTGGAACACCGTGTCAAGTTCTGCCTGTTACATGCATTGTCTTCTTTCAAAATACACTTCTGTTTTCACAGGAAATTTAACATTTACATACAGTCTCTTTCAAAGCACTGCGAATTGATGGTTTTTTTTCTTCAACAACTAATGGACATGGTTAAGTTTAGGAAAAAAACAACAGGATTTGGCTTTATAATCTTAAAGGACACAAACACCACTCTCATGGGTGAAAGTCTGTGTTTGTTGGGCCCATCCACCACCACTCCTGCCCACCGTAGTTGGACTTTCGCTGCCTTAACTTTTGTCCTTGTCCCTCTGCATTTCCCCCTGACACCGCCAGGTGCCGTTAAACTATAGTGCCAACTGGCCACGTATCATGCTGCCGTTAAAGGACGCTTTTTTTTTTGTTTCTGATGCCGCGAGTCACTGCCTAAGCGTAACATTTCGATGACTTTTAAGTGAGACTGGGCTCCAAAAATCTGTCAATTTCTAAGTTTCTCCAACTTAGAAAGGTGGGCTGATTGCTAGTGTTAGATGAGATTAATTTTCATGAGGACGTATCCAGTAGATTGTCTTGTTTTTCTCTTTTCATTATTTTGCATCTACATAATTTAATGTTAACTAACTTGGAACTATTTAATATCGTACCTTACGTGCAGGTAATGAGAGTTATGATTAAGGTTTGCGGAGTGATATAAAATAAGATATAAGATGTGAGATGCCACTATTGTTGTTGGTGTCCAGTTGTCCTACGTTCTTTTTTCGGACATTAAAGTGGATCAAGTCACACAGAGAAGCTGTCCTCGTGCTATTACTTCACCCACAGCCCTTTGATAGTTAATTCAGTAACTAGTAGTATTATAGGTAAGGGTAAGAAGGAGTTTAAAATTATGTAGTTAAAGGGAAAAAAAGTCAGAATAAATCATAATTGATTAAGTGTTATCAACATGAATTCATTAGTGGTGGGTTTGCCTGCTGGAGGTCATCCTTTTCTCACTGGTTTATTTATCACCTCATCACGGCTGTAACCTTATGAACCTCTGTTTCTCACCATCAAACCATACATGATTCCTGTTAATGGGCCGCTCTGTGACATGGCTGCTTGCTGAGTACCTGCTTGAGCGGCTCATATGTTCAGCTCCGCCATGGAATTGCTGTTCGTGTTTGGCACATTCAACACAGAAACGTACCTTTAATTGGAACGCAGGAATATTGTATACATTATTGATTTTTCACCCTCTGCCCCCATGAACAAATCCACACACAATCAGTGAATTTCTACAACAGCTGGTACAGATAATGGCACCAAACTAATGCTGGCTTTATCCCGACAGTCTTCTCAATCTTCACCGTCTTCACAAAGCAGTTGATCCATTGATTGTGTCCCTTTTGATAATTCAACAAATTAAGCCCGTTTTTGTGCCCGAGCCACTCAAGCAGAGCTGGTCAGTGTGTCAGTGTGTCTGTATTCAACCGCGAGCCACCTCTCCAGATGGGATGTGACTGATGCAGGTGACATCTTTCCGAGCTGGACGCAGCTGGCAGATTGGGGTTCCTTGCCATTATGCCGTGTGACTGGCCTAATTATCACCCCCCTCTCTCCCCTGCCAGCATATCTGCAGCCTCTTCTGCCTTAATCCACTTCTGCGGCACTTCTCTCCTACTCTAGTTTTCCCTCTCCTGGTCTCATCTCACCTCCTCTTCTCACTCTCTCATCCACCTTGCCTCTAATCCCCCCCCACCCCCCCACCCCCCACCCCTCCCTCCTCTCCCTCTCCACTTCTTCTCTCGCTCCACTTCTCTCTACCCTCTACTCCTCTTCTGCATGTTCAGCAAGATTGGAGACCAGTGGGAGCTTCTCCATCTCTGTGTTAAGCATTGCTTTGCTCTCTTTTTAGCCCCTAAAAAAAGTGAAAGGAGGCACAGGGATCTTTATCGTATAAAATATAGAATCTCTGCAGCTCACCTTGAAGGTATCTAATATTTGGATTCGTGATTCCGCACCAGCATCACCACAGAAAAGTGCAGACAAATAAGCGTGTGATTGGTGGACAAGTGATGAAACAGGTGCTTATGTGTTTTTTTCCATCCCCCAGGTGAGAAGCCGTACAAGTGCTCGTGGGAGGGCTGCGAGTGGCGATTCGCCCGGAGTGACGAGCTGACGAGGCACTACCGCAAACACACCGGCGCCAAGCCTTTTAAGTGCAACCACTGTGACAGGTCTGTCAAAACACACCTCTCCCTCCTTCCCTCTCCCTTGTATGTTTTTCTTCCATTTTCCAAGGGTTATTTGAAGTACTTCCAGTAGCGCAGCGGGCCATGTTTCCCCATTGTGTTTTGTACACAGTTTGGTTTAGTAAAGAAGTGCTACAAAATGCTGGTAACACACCCAAATGTGTTTGGTACTGACCCAGTTTAAAAGTGTGCTGGCAGGATTACTAATGTGGGCTCCTCTGCAACACACGCAAGACCCAACCTGTTCAGTCTTTCATTGGGAATCCAAAGGGTGCTTATTCTGCTCTATGCCGACATTAGGCCCTGTGCAGGATATTAATAGTGCATTTCCCCACATGATGTTACATGGCCTTGATATGGAGGCTGCTTTCACACTGGGACAGAGGTGTAAAATGACTGTAGAACCCATTAGCACTATCACACATCACTGGTATAGAATATTAATTTAAACTTAAAGGGACAGTTCATCCCCAAGTCAAGAACTCATATTTTTCCTCTTACCTGAAGTGCTATTTATCAATTTAAATTTGTTTTGTGTGAGATGCTAAGTGTTGGAGATATCAGCAATGGTGATGTCTGCCTTCTCTCCAATATAATGGAACGAGTTGGCGCTCAGCTTTTGCTGCTCAAAGTGCCAAAAAATACACTTGAAAAACTCTTTTCTGAAATCTTGACCCAGTTACTCAAAAGATAATCCACAGACCTCTGTGTGCAGGCCACTCTTACTGAACAAACACCACATAGGTCAGCTTTTCAAGCACCTTAGTACGACCCATTCTTAGTGGAGCCCTCTTGTGGCAGTAGTAATTATTACAGGAGCAGTGAAGTGATGTAACATAGCAAAAGAGAAATGACAAAGTCTACGTAATGTTGCACAAATATTGAAGAAGCCCATACAAACAAACACCAGACTTTCACCCAAGAGAGCGGTGTTTGTGTCCCAAAGTCTGCATTGGCTTTTCTGAATAACAACGTAGCCTAGTGTGTTATTATGTGTAGCATGCTATGCTAGTGATGTACGTGATGTATGCCACAGTACATATGTTATGATATGTTAGTGACAAAAGCACTTAATTAATGCTAAAACATTATGTGTTTTCTACGTAACCATGTAGTTTTGGAAGGGGACTGTCTGTCAGATGACAATGCAAAGTTATTGCTACTTTTACAGAAAGATCTGTTCTTCCTCCACCTCTGTATTAGCTTAAAATCATGTGTGGAAAGCCCCTAATGAAACTTGATATCTCACATGAAAAGCCGATCTCAAGCACTACTAGTTCTCTTTATGTATCAATGGTAAGGAGAGGAGTCAAGCTGCCATAGGAGCAGAGAAAAAGAGCAGCTACTGGAGCTGGTATGTACAGTATAGGCCAAAAGTTTGGACACACCTTCTCATTCAATGCGTTTTCTTTATTTTCATGACTATTTACATTGTAGATTCTCACTGAAGGCATCAAAACTATGAATGAACACATGTGGAGTTATGTACTTAAAAAAAGGTGAAATAACTGAAAACATGTTTTATATTCTAGTTTCTTCAAAATAGCCACCCTTTGCTCTGATTACTGCTTTGCACACTCTTGGCATTCTCTCTATGAGCTTCAAGAGGTAGTCACCTGAAATGGTTTTCCAACAGTCTTGAAGGAGTTCCCAGAGGTGTTTAGCACTTGTTGGCCCCTTTGCCTTCACTCTGCGGTCCAGCTCACCCCAAACCATCTGGATTGGGTTCAGGTCCGGTGACTGTGGAGGCCAGGTCATCTGCCGCAGCACTCCATCACTCTCCTTCTTGGTCAAATAGCCCTTACACAGCCTGGAGGTGTGTTTGGGGTCATTGTCCTGTTGAAAAATAAATGATCGTCCAACTAAACGCAAACCGGATGGGATGGCATGTCGCTGCAGGATGCTGTGGTAGCCATGCTGGTTCAGTGTGCCTTCAATTTTGAATAAATCCCCAACAGTGTCACCAGCAAAACACCCCCACACCATCACACCTCCTCCTCCATGCTTCACAGTGGGAACCAGGCATGTGGAATCCATCCGTTCACCTTTTCTGCGTCTCACAAAGACACGGCGGTTGGAACCAAAGATCTCAAATTTGGACTCATCAGACCAAAGCACAGATTTCCACTGGTCTAATGTCCATTCCTTGTGTTTCTTGGCCCAAACAAATCTCTTCTGCTTGTTGCCTCTCCTTAGCAGTGGTTTCCTAGCAGCTATTTGACCATGAAGGCCTGATTCGCGCAGTCTCCTCTTAACAGTTGTTCTAGAGTTGGGTCTGCTGCTAGAACTCTGTGTGGCATTCATCTGGTCTCTGATCTGAGCTGCTGTTAACTTGCGATTTCTGAGGCTGGTGACTTGGATGAACTTATCCTCAGAAGCAGAGGTGTCTCTTGGTCTTCCTTTCCTGGGTCGGTCCTCATGTGTGCCAGTTTCGTTGTAGCGCTTGATGGTTTTTGCGACTCCACTTGGGGACACATTTAAAGTTTTTGCAATTTTCCGGACTGACTGACCTTCATTTCTTAAAGTAATGATGGCCACTCGTTTTTCCAATAGGGCTGTCGGCTGTGTATTAACCTGACTTCTGCACAACACAACTGATGGTCCCAACCCCATTGATAAAGCAAGAAATTCCACTAATTAACCCTGATAAGGCACACCTGTGAAGTGGAAACCATTTCAGGTGACTACCTCTTGAAGCTCATCGAGAGAATGCCAAGAGTGTGCAAAGCAGTAATCAGAGCAAAGGGTGGCTATTTTGAAGAAACTAGAATATAAAACATGTTTTCACCTTTTTTTTTTTTGTGTATAACTCCACATGTGTTCATTCATAGTTTTGATGCCTTCAGTGAGAATCTACAATATAAATAGTCATGAAAATAAAGAAAACGCATTGAATGAGAAGGTGTGTCCAAACTTTTGGCCTGTACTGTACATGCAGAAAGCGAGTGTGGGAAAATGCATTTAATTTTGTGTCTGGTGAGGCTGGAAATAGGAACCTGTCTTGTTTTGGAAATCAATGGAAATCAATGTTTTCTGTCCTATAGGAATGAAAGGACAATGTGTTATGAGCAGTTTTATATAGGAACTCGTTTCTTACTTCCAAACTACCCCTGCCAACCGTATCACTGCACAGAATGAAGCTTTTATCTACTCATGGATGAGAAGCTCGTGCTCGTGGCATAATGTAAACATAAATGGCATCCTCCTCCACTGAGCTGTAACGTTAGCTAGCTCAGTGGTGCTAAATGAGCTAGCAGTCGATGCATGCTTCCTTCTGCTCGATGATACAGTACAGGTTGCAAGTGGCAAGAAAAAAGTTCCTCCATGAAACAGCTCACAACAAGGTCCGTGGATTATCTTCAGTAACCGGGTCATGATTTCTGGAAAGAGACATTGCTGTTGAGTTTTTAAATGTATTTTTTGGCGCTTTGAGCACCAGAAGCTGAGTACCATCTAGTTCCATTATGTTGGAGAGAAGGCGGACATCTCTGACATCTCCAGCACTCTGCACCTCACACCTAAACAATCTAGATCAATAAATAGCACTACAGGTAAGAGGAAAAATATGTATCTTAAAATGTTGGGCAATATTTGTTAATACTTTAAAGAGCTATCAACTTTTTTTGGGTTTACAGATTTTGTCTTGACTTTGATTGGAGAACAGTTAGTATTCCTTATTTGAAAAAGGCAGCACTTTTGGTGTGTGACATTTTAGAGGGAAAATGTATTTAGGGGATTTCCAGAGCCACTGTGACCCAAAATACAGGTGTGTGTGTGTTACTGTAAATTAAGCCTCATGCTGGCTCCTGTAAACCGGATGATTCCTGGTCTGATCCCTGTGACCCAAGCACCGAGTGTCCTTAACCAGAAGCGACCAGCAGAGCAGTTTGCCACACTCACACACAAACCATTTGAAAATCACTCTTTAAAATGTGATTGGTTATTGGATGGGGTGATTCAGAAATTGATCTCTACCTCGTCCACTTCCTGTTTACCGTCCTCCAAAGGAGAAAATCTCCTAATCTTTAACAGAGGTGTGGAGGTGCATGGCTTTGTCCCTTTGAAGACTTGATCCGATGTAATTTGCCCTGTGACTTTACGTCTTAATTAGTCGCCCTGGCTCCTGTTTAATTATGAACCACAGCAAAATGTTAATTTGCCAGGCTCCGGTGGCAAAACCATCAAACATTCAGGGGCCATTATAAAAAGATCAGCTTGACTCAGACACAAAAATCTTTACTCCCATTTTAATTACATCCCTCTGTCTGTGATCTGGCCCTCGGTGACACCTCTGGGATCTCAAAGCAATATTGTCTACAGGAGCCACAAGGCAAGGGACCCGGGGTTAAAGAAAATTTGGGTGAAAAGGGTCATTCTGAAGGTATTAGACTGAAAAATCTATATTTTAATAAAATGCTGCATGGAGTTCTTTTACTAAAAAAAACACCATTGTGGCCAGATTCTAAAGAAACATTGAAAAACCCTTTCTTAATATTTTGGTGTAAATACTGTAGACACACCTGAGCATGGGTGGATCATGAGACAAACAGCCCCTGGGCACAGACATGCAAAAGGCCCCACCACCTCTCCTCCACAGGAGTAAGACACACACTTATTTTTTTGTTTATTTTTCATGTATTTTCAGCTGTTTTGCATCTTTTTGTGTTTTTCTATGTCTTTGTACTCATTTCTTGTCTTGTTCAGGGTCTCCTTTTGATTATTTTGTCTCTTTGTAGTTATTTTGTGCCTCCGTGTAGTGCCTTTGCATCTTTTTGTGGTCATTTGAGTCTCTTCCTGGTCGGTACGTGTTAATTTGACATTTGTCAATAAAATCTGTTGATTATTTTCTTGATGAATCTATAAATTGGTTGCTTTATAGAATGTTAGAAAATGATCAGCCCAACATGACATCCCCAAACATCTTGTTTTGTCCACAACCCAAAAATATGCAGTACACTGTCACAGAAAAGTAAATAAACCAGCAAATATTCACATTTAGGAAGCTGGAATCTGAAAATTTAGATTTTTTTATTCTTCCTTAAAAGGTCACCAGTGGTAGACCTGTGGATCCTGATCCAGTGAGTGCACTCTTTGGTATTAAAGGTTCTTATCTTGTGTGAACCAGCTCCCAACATAACATGATATTATTTGTAATTATTTTATTTTTAATTTCATTTAAATTATATTTTTTTGCCACGTTTGCAGTTTTTTTCTCAATATTAAAAGACACTGAAAATTCACAAAGGTGTCAAA